CCTCGTGCTGCGGCTTTGAATAGTATCCATGAGAAAGTAAACAAGGCATGGTATCAGGTTTGGTTAGGGGCTGAGTTTCGCCTGTGAGTGAATATTCCTTGATGCGTGGGTTCCTCTTTTTGGTTACCGTCAGTTGAGTTGCAGTTTCCATCCTCAGAAAGGAGATTTACAAAACTAGACTTTACAATGACTTCATAAATTATAAGTTATGTATTCATAACAAGTTGTTTCTGTACAGCGTGCCTGTAGTTTCACGATTTTTGATGTGGCTGTTTGGTTTCTGTGGAGGTCACATAAGGGTATTGATGAGATACATGACCGGTTTGGTATTTAGGATGCCTTGTCTTAAGCAGTTTCCTTAAACCTCCTCCCCCGGTGTGACTGCTCAAATCCTACAACTCTGTTGTAGTTGGGTGGCTCATCCCTTGGTGATTTGGGGCGTCAGTCCCGATTCGGCCGGGTGCTCAAGCCATTTGCCTTGTCGCTTGACCCTGTGTGAAGGGACGGCTGTTCCACAGAGCAGGGGAACAGGATGAGCTGGGTTGGTTTGCTGCTTTCTCATCCGCTTATTCAGCTCTCCGTGGGTAGGTATTGAGGGTGAAACACGCTGTGGTGTTGGGCCAGAGCCACAGAGCTGGTCTCCCTGCAGCCTGCCCATGGAAGAAAGATAGGAGATTTGGAGTCAATTTGGAAATAAGGGCGGCAGAGATGAGAGAGGCGAGGACATAGAGATTGCTTGGAGTTAGGGGGCGACCCCAGAGCAAGTGGGGAGAAAGAGAAGATGAACTCAGGGAAAGTACCAGGGAGTCTCTCAACTAGGAACACGTTTGCTGCGGTTCATTGAGAGGAACCCAAGAGCAGGAACAAAGCACCTCTTCCCACCGAGGCGGCTGAGGTGCCTTGGAGGGCTTCGCTGGCAGAGGTACCCACCTCGTCTTCCTCCCGGGGGAAAGGAGGGAGAAGCAGCAGCAGTTCAGTTCCAGCGGGGATGTAGTGAGCAACTCGGTGACCAGTTAACGCAAGGTACCCCTGGCCGAAGAGGCTCTGCAGGAGCAGATAGAAATTGGGCAGAGCAGTAGCCGGGGGGAATGGTCTGGTTGTGGCCGCTCTGCCTGCCCGTAGTCCTGCGGCTGCGGGAAAGGTCAGGCAGAATGTGAGCCGGGCATTAAATTAAGCCTGTAAGGAGACAGTCGGGGAACTTAAGATGGATTAACTTAAGGTGTAAAGTTTAAAGCATATTATTATGAAGGAGGATTAAGCTAAACTGAGCTAATGACACCACTTTTGAATGCGTATCCACACAGCGGATTCAGAGCTGTGGCTCCACGCCTTTTATTACTTAAATGTACTTACCTTCTTAAATGTCCTCATAAAGATACATGCCCTTATATTCCAGATCTTCACATTCCCCATTTTCCATGTCAAGACGTTTATATGCTGTGTCAGAGGTAGAACTGGTTTTGGTTGGTTGGTTTTGCTCCCCGCCTTCCCCTGCCCCCCCCCAAAAAGAAAAAAAAAAAAAAAAGACGGGGGGGGAAGGCAACTTAGAACTTTGTTTTAATTTTTCCCCATGGTGGTAATGGCACTTGATGGTATTTATTATTAGATGAGGCATTTGGTAAGGAAGAAATGACTTTGTTCATGTTATGTTGACATGCCCTAATTTCTCCATGCCCCATCTCTTTTAATATATGAGCCATTTCTATTGCTTTATTTTGTTGTTACTCTCATGGTATTGGGATATCTGCGATGTCAGCATCTGGATTTTCCAAAAGCTCTGTACCCTCTTATTTTGCACTGTGTGGGTTAAAAATCAAATGCAGAATTGAATACTGTAAACTCCCGCAAAATGCTTATCTTACATTAAACAGAGTCTTGACTTAACTAACATAGTTTGTAGTTAATAATAATTTGTAAATAAGTGATAAATCAACTGAATTGATTTTTCAGGAGGGAAACTGATTTGAAATTACAGGTTTGTTGTATGTTAAATAAACTACTTAGTAACCAGTTCTGTGTATAATTTTAGCTCACTACAAACAACGCCATCGGGTTTTCCTTGGGGGTAAACTGGAGATCAGTATTTCTAAGTAGATAAAAGACTAAATATTTAAAAGACAGGCAGAAAAAAAAAAACAACCAAAAAAACCCCTGACTTTTACTAAAATTATTCTATTCAGGCAATCATATAAAAGCAAAACAAATACAAAAAAAAATGTAAGAGAGAGAAAGTAAAATGTCACAAAAAGTGCAATGCAATGTAAAAAAATAAAGGTTTTGAGTCAGGATACTTTTAGGTTAGCTGTTTTGCCACGCTCTTTAGTGAAAGCATAAGAAACCTGAGACAAAACCTCAAAATGTTTCGTTTTATTTGCTGTGTGGCTTGTGGTATCAGATGAAAGGTCTGGCGTTCTTGTGTCTGTGGAGGTCAAACACAGGCAGGGATGGTAGCAGCTGCTTTATGTTCTGAGGCTGGAGAAACTAACTTTGGTGTCCTGCAAAAGCAATAATGGATATAATAGACTGTTCTTGTTTTGAATCCTGCTACTCTTTAGGAGTCTGAGATATACCTTAAAATGTATTTTCAAAAATACAAATGTCCCTCATTAATCATCTGCCTTTCAACTTCAGTATGTATCCCTCCTGGGAGAGGTCAATTAGGAGACACCATTATCTGTGTCCTAGACCTGGATTTGGTAATTTTGGGAAGAGGGAGGGGAACCGGAGCAGCGGGAGGGAGACCACTCTCTGGGGTCTTTCGGGTTCTTCTTCCCCAGCTCAGAGGTGCCTGTAGCTGTTTGGTCTCTGGGCAATAACAACCCACCAGGCAGGAGGACCTCGGGCTGGTTAGGGTGATGTCCCCGAAGGGGGGTAGGCTGGGTCATGCAGTGGCCAAACATGAAGGAGCCCCCATCCCTGGCACACTCGGTCGTCCATGCTAAGGTCACGTCCAAACACCGGGAGAGATCCAGGTGCTGCTGTGCTGGGTTGGCCGCAAGCCTTGGACGGTGGCCACCAGCCTCAGGCAGATGGGGGGCTGGAGCGGGACCCCAGGCACAGCAGCTTCAGAAATGCCCGTTTGTGTGCATCTGACGTCTTTTAATTCTGGAAATCCTTTTCTGTTTCACCCAATCCCAGTTACTCGGCATCACTCTGTATGCGTTCATAGCACGCGACCGGTGTTGAGCGTGCAAGTGGCGTCTGTAAGTCCTCTGCAGCGCGCAGCGCTCGTGCCCCTGTGCATCCGGCAGCAGCGGCAGCTCTTCCCAAACAGAGGGCCAAGTGGTATTTCAGTCACCATTCAAAGCGTTCAAAGACTATTTTCTACTATTAGTTTTCTTCTCTGCAGTCCATGATGCATAATAAAAATAAACACGGCATTACTACTACTATTAAATTAAAAAAAAAAAAAAAAAAAGAAGCTGGAAGTTCTTAGTCTCAAGAAGAGGGTGGAGCGGGGGAAAAGTGCAGAGCCCATATAACAATGGGGTGTCCGCTTTATTAGTATTAAGGAGGAAAATAAAATCTGCTCTGGCAGTAGTGAAATAAAACGCCAGGAAGATTACATCAGTCTTTGTTTGCACACAGTATGATTCTTCTCTTTCACCACCCAATTTGTACATTTGAAAAGGCAGTTGCTTGGTTAAAATAATTGGCTGAACTTCATCCAATTCCCCAGTTATGTGAAAAAATGTTTGAAGAAATACAGACAATTGTTGTTGAGCAATTAAAAAAAAAAAAGTAGTGGTCACTGAACAATTATAGCGCCTTGTCTAAATACTCGCATATATATTGTAGTTTCGAAATGAGACAGGCAATTCTCAGTGACTCTTTGCTGTAGCTGTTGTGGTTTGGGATAGCAGCTTTGGAAGTATAGCAAAATCCTAACTAATTCTGCCTGAAACCTGTGCAGGATAGGTTAGTCTGGGGTTGCCGCGGAGAGGTAGGGTCTGAAGCTAAATGTATCGAAGTATATTTAAAGAAAAAACGGAGTAAACTGGATACAAGTCATGTATCCTTATTATTTTACAATTTAACAGGCAAAAATCTGTATTAATGAACGAGATCATCTTATTACATACTCCTTTATGCCAGACTATCTTAGATTATTATTTTGGGAAAAAACAGAGAGAATTTTTGAATATTTCAGTGTTTGAATAAGAGACCATTGCAACAATTTGACCAAGAATTCCCCGTAGGAGGTCCGGTGTATTATATTAATAAGAACTTCAGTGACTGGGAAATCATTTCCCCCTTTGCCGTGGGTTTTCCTGTTGCCGGTGGCGGCAGGCACCCTGCAGGCTGCTGGGCTGGGGCCAGGGCTGACCGCCCCGAGTGGTGCGGGCTGCAGGTGTGAGGCTGTCAGTCCTCCTTGGCCATCCTTTTCCCCAGCTCATCTCTGCACCAGACACTTCTGAAACCCGTTTCCACTTGCACATCAACTGACGGGGGATTTAAAATGTGCATGTAATGGGTGTAGGTTCCCCTGTTCCACCAGTTCTGACCCCTTCAGCAGGCTCATTTCCATCAGCCAGGGCAGAGCTGAACAAACGCTGACAATTCAAACGCATTTGAAAACATTTTTGCCAGTTCGTTAACATCGTCGGTGTATCAAACTCAAATTACATTTGGTTCTGTTCATGCCGCCCGTGGTCTGCCGGGTAGCGAAAGTGAACTCAGCCATCCATCGTGGATGGCGTAGGAGTTGAGCAAGGCGATGCCCAGGTCCCCCAAAGCTCCCAGGCAGTGGGTTTTTCTGCCAGCCCGGGAGCACGGGGACCAGGCAGCCCTCCGGGGCTGGCGGGGCTCCAGCTTCGTCTCCGTAGTCCCCAGCTCCCTTACCTAACCTGAACTTCGCAGCTGCGGTGCCTCTTACTGACCTCTGCGCGACCAGCGCTTGGTCTCCAGGTCGCAAGTGGCTTTCCTCATGCGTGCGCTGCCCCGTGCGCGTTGCGCTCTCCTGTATTTACCCTCTGGATTTTGTTTCTTTCTCTTTGCAGGGAACGGATGCGCCAGTCTGCTATGTTTGAACTGTGCCAGGGGATGCACCAGATCAGTCTGCAGTTTGTTCGCTTGCAGCTTAGCTTTGAGGAGTACACTATAATGAAAGTTTTGCTGCTGTTAAGCACAGGTAAGTTAGATTTGTGGTTACATGGGAAAACTTGAAAATACTCCAATTCACAAAGAGGTGCAGTGATTTTAACTAATGTGACAAAAGAGCCAAACTGTTTCCAGCAGGGCCGCAGGAATAAGCCTGGGTTTATGTCTTAGGGTTTATCTGCAGATCTCACTCTCCTTTAGCACGGGAAGTGTCTTTGCAGTTCGAATGTGTCATGTGCGTTGGAAGGACAGGAGTGGCCGGGCAAGGAGCTTTGGCCCCCCTTTCTGTACGGGAACCGCTCGAGTCGGCCAGGCCTGCCGAGGAAGTGCAACGGCTGTGGGGACTGGAGAGAAATCCCTGCTCAAAACTTGAAGCCACGGGTTTGGGTGACTTAACGTCCCCTTCAACATCGAAAGATTTACGTTGCCTGTACTGCAAAATGGGTAATTTTCCAATGCCAAGGGAATTGAGAATGGTAAGCCCTTTTACAGGGCTCTGAAAGTTTAATAAATGACAGTGCACACTTTATTTTTCTCTCGAGTGAAATGCTTTGAGTTCTCTTAAGATACAAAATTACATCTTGGTGTTTGTTACAGCACAGTGTAGTAATTAACAGATCTCTTGATCTTACCTTACTGAAAACGTTGAAAAACTCCCGTCCCAGTACAATTGTATAAATACCCAGGCAGTTTGTACGTTACTTTTCCATCAGTCTTGATGAAAAAGCCAAACAAACTTTCTTCTGTATAATCATGCTCCTTTTTGTGGGATCCACTCAGTGACATCACGATGAGATAACACATCATCTTGATTGGTGGGTGTTCGTGATGTCACTTCAGTGAACTCACCGGGCAAGAATTCCCCCGGCAGAAGGAGGCTGGATGTTGGGGGCATTGCAGGGGGGGAGGAGGAGCGGGAGATCAAAGAGGCCGCTGCACCTATTCTGGCTTTCGCTTGCAAGCTGTCGGCAGCAGGGTGCACGCCCGGGGCTGCCGGGGCCGGGGGCTGCCCGGGCTCGTGCTGCGGAGAGCGTCTCCCCATTCGGTGGTGAGCGGAGCCCAGCGTGCCCTTTGAGGTCTTGCTCTCTTCTCCCATCACCCCATCTTCTGCCCCAGCAAGCTGCGAGAAGAAACGAACGGCAAGCGACAGGCGCTAGTTGTGCAGCGCTGGAAGGCGCTTATCGCCGAAACCGCTGAAGGACGCCAGAGCGGGCTGATGCAGCAGCAGATTTAGACACCCGGGAGCCTCCCGAGTCCCCAGCCGTGGCGCGGGCACGTTGGCTGCGGGCAGAGTTAGGTGCCTACGAAAGGATTTGCAGCATCCAGCAAAGCCAAGCGGCAGTCCCTTCAGGCGAGGTGGTGGGACGGGCACTTTCTCCCTGTGCCTTCCGTTCAGACCTCTCCCGTCCCACCCAGCCGGTAGCTCTGTGGTTAAAGTACTTGCCTTTGAAGGAGGATGTGAAGCTGCAGTTCCCGTCCCGGCTGGAGGGGATTTGGATCCGCTAACAGAAACCTCCTGGGGCTGTAAGTTTTTTTTTGGGCTCTCCCTCCCTCCCGTTGAAGCCGTTCCAGCTCCCCGGGACGGGGAGAGACGCTGCCGGAGGGGGAGCGCTTTGTGTCCCGGCCCGCGGGGTCTGACCCCCGGGCCTGGCTCCACTGACGGTTCAAGGAGATGGTCCGCTGGTGAAACTGGGACCGTGGGGAGCTGATGTGCTCCGGGGTAGCCCTGGGGGGTAAATGGGCTTTTTGGAAGGTTGTCACTCGTGGTCTTTCTAGAAGCAATTAACAGTGCTTAACGTGGATGTGCTCGGGGGAGTCTAGCTCCCAAAATGTTCTTGAGAGAGTGCCTGGATTGGAGATCTGGCTCTGCTACTTTTTAATCGGCCCTAAAGCAGGAGAATCTTTAGAAAAAGAGCCTAAAGGCGTTCTAAAAACGTAGCAAAATTTCTTTAAACTAGGTATTTATTATTCTACCCTCTTGAGAGTGTTAACTAATGACTTGAGTTATTGCGAGAATCTGTTAGGCGAGATCAGCCTGGCCAATTAACTTCAGCTAGCTGGGTCCCTTTGAAACGCACACCACGGTCACTAGAAAACCTACTAAAAATAGTTTGTTTTGGGAGAGTCGGGATATTTACGTTAGAGAGAGAGATGGAATGGAAATGAAGACAGTGATAAAACCCAGAAAGTGTCATGTGAAGGGCAGCAAACTTGGTTTCGAATGATTGCACCTTGATACAACCTTATGACAGAAAACACCAGGTTTGTTTTCATTTAAAATTTTTTATTGAAACGTATGATGAGCAGAGTACAAGTTATTCTGAAACTTTCATGATGACCACATCAAGGAAGTTTCACTCCATTTACATGTGGAAGAAACCACACATTACAACTCAATTGTTTTCTTGCTTTCCACAGACCATAGATTTTGGGAGCTTGCCAAAAGCATTGCTGCATTTAATAAGTAAAATCAGAAACACTGGGCAAACCTCCAGAATTTCATGTTTTGCTTGAGTTCTCTTTATTTGTGGTCTTTCTTTCTTTCTTAATAATCTGGCTGGGTGATGGTATAATAATTTTCAGACAGAACAGTAAAATACATAGTAGTAGACAAAGAAAGAGTGGCTCTAACAGTCTTTAAGCAGCATGTAGGAATACAGGCCTGTAAATATTAAAGGAACTGTAAAGCCTGTGCATTTTGTGTAAGGGCCACAGTATGCTCTGATGGCTTTACTCATCTTGATTGGTGTCTCTATATTCATTCAGCTTGAACTGAATTTGTACATCTGTTCCAGACAGTTTCTTCTATCTGTCAGCTGACTGGCTGAGAGATTTGACATCTAGAATTTAAAAATTAAATAATTATGTTTATAT